AGGTTTCAGCGCAGGTGCCAGGATGTCAGAGATGCCAGGATGTCGGATGCCAGGACGTCAGAGATGCCAGAACTGTGTGACACCTGCAGAGGGAAAGCTGCAGGCAGCAGAACTGCAGGGCTTGGATATCGAGGCCACTGGTTAATGAGCTCTCAGCTGAAGACTGTCAGGAGGTGGGGAGCGGGGAGCCTGGAGGAAATGTGTCACGGGGAGCTGAAGTGTGTCCTGTCCCTGCCCAGTCCTCCTGCTCTCTTTCTGGCCACTATGGACGCTTCCACCTCCCACAGCCTGGTATTCCACCTTGTCTCAGGCCCCAAAACATGAACCAAGTGACCACAGACTGAGACGTCTGGAGCTGTGAGCCAAAATACATCTCTCTCCCTCTCAGGCTATTTTCCTTGGGTTTTGTCAGTGATGGAAAACCGACTGACTACAACCAATGACATGTCGGCATCTGTACCCAGGGGCCCTGGTATAAAAGCCCTCAGTGCTCACTGCTTGAACCACTGCACAGCTAGAAGAACGGGAGGCCAGGCAGGCAGGTGCCGTAGCACCAGGCTTCCATGAGGCCAGCAGTGTTCGGAAATACCTCGGACAGAGGTAGCCCTGGATAATCAGCAGAGAATACAGAGAGGCCCTCCCATCACAAGAAGCGTAAGCCCAGCCAGCTCTGCCAAAACAGCAGGGTGAGACAACCCACAGAGGGACAGTTAATTCCCTGAGAGATGTTTTAAGAACATTTGTAAACGGCCTCTTGTTTGTGAAGGGCCTGGAACATGACCAAAACCCACAAAGTCACCAGATCTTGAAGCAGGGGAATTCCACACTAATGCAAAAGCCTTATTCAAACACAAACGTGCTCTCCCTCAAATCAGTTCTAATTACTTTTTAAGACAGGTTTTCAAAATATTGGTTTAACTGTTTATCTAAAATTAGTAATAGTTACCCAAAAGATTTTTAACAATGAATTTTAAAAATCCACACGAGAGAGCTCAACTGTTCCTTTAACGAGCTTCTGACTTCATTTAACTGTGGATACACAGGAGCCAACACCTTCCAAATATCACAGAATCATCAGGTGCCCTGACCTCTGCATTCGGGCAGGCCTCCCAACAACCCCTGCTCCTACGGCAGGCGGGCATGCTGCTCAGATGGCATGTGAGCAAGTGCAGGTGTGCCTGTGTTGACACAGGACACAGCAGATGAAACAAATGGGTCACACATCAGTTCACACACATGATCACCTGCTTCTTTAAAAGCAAACTGTCCCAGGGGGGATGGCTCAAGGCCCTGGTTTTGATCCCCAGTATTGTAAAAATCCTAAAGCAAAGTAAACAGAGCTCCACCTGACACAAAGCCCACAGCAAAGACTGCTGACTACAGGGCACAGGCAGGCCACAGGCTTGCCATCATCAGTCCTCTCTCTTATCAGCATCTTCCCTTAACCAATGTCTGAAGATAGTGCACGGAAGACACAGAGGTAACTCCTAGGGTTCAATAACCTGTATTATAGAACGCTGTCCATTGCTCTGCTTATTATCACTGGTGCTCTTGTGAGCGCGCACTGTGCCTAACTGATAAATTTAACCCTTATTGGGGTGCATGTGTGTACATGCAGGAGCAGCTACCACACTCACAAGGCTCAGTACAGAGCTACGGACAAAAGATATGACACACCGATTCCGGAAAACTTAGAAAAAAACAGTGCCGTAGCTTAAGCAACTAGGGTCTGTCAAATGAATAGGAAACGCTGGATGTGCCACATGTTCTCTGATTTTATGGATGGCTTCTGAAAAACTACTGATCAATAGTCTCATCTTCACATCAGTATTCATGTCATGCCCAACCTTCTCAGGTTATAGTGAGCAGTCATTTTCCTAGGTCAACCTAGTGTAGACCATTAGGAACACATGTGCCAGGCCTGGTGGCGAAGGCCTGTAATGTTAGCAGCTCCCCAAGCTGAGGAACGTGGATAAAAAGTTCAAAACCTGCCCGGGCTCAAGACTGAGGTCAAGACTAGCCTGGTGAACTTATCAAAACCCTGTTTCAAAATAAAAGAGAGCAAGCCTTGGGTACAGGAGAGTGCTCACCTAGCACGTGCAAGGCCCTGGTTCAATGCTGAGGTCAGGGGACACTAAGGCATAGCAGGCAGGGACATACATAAGACCGCCCTGCTCAGAGCTCACACCTTATCCACAGCTGCCAAGCCTTTCTTCTCTGCCCTCCAGGACATTCTCAACTGATAGAATTCAACCTGAAACACTGCAATTAAGGTCTTTCATTGCATAAATGAGAAACTGAGACTGATTATGGACCACCGCTCCCTCAGTTTACCCTAGCCTCATTTTCCTACCCATCTAAGGCAGAAAGAAGAAAACTGAAGGGCCCGAGTCGGGAACAATCTATAGTTAGGGACCCGTTTCCTTCCAAGCAACATCACTGTAAGTTCAGACCACAAAATCTAGCCCGGGACTAGGAGCCACTGCTCATTTCACCTTCACTTAGAGTCAAAAGCAATGGAAGCTACCGAGCCAGAGAAGAAAAACAGGGAATGGGAGGTGGGGTTGGAGCAGGGAGGACAGAGTCTGACACAGCTCTGGCAGGTCCATGTAGCTCTGAGGACCCCTTTCCTACTGTCAAAAAATCAAGGTCTAGTTGGGTGTGGTAGCGCACGCCTGTAGTCCCAGCACTCAGGAGGCAGAGGCAGAGGCAGGCAGATGTCTGTGAGTTTAAGGCAAGCCTGGTCTACATAGCAAGTTCCAGGACAGTTGGGGCTACAGGGAGACCCTGTCTCAAAAAGACAAAAAAAAAAAAAAAAAAAACTCAAGGTTTAAGAGACTCCTGAGAACTAAAGTCATACAAACTACTTGGGGTTAATCTACCAAGACCATTGGACATTATGCAATATACATATTAATAACAAAGATATTGATAGAGAAAAGAAACATATCTAAGCATTTAATGTCACTTTTGTGTCTAAATATTGTTTTATGACTGATTTTTATATAGGACACAGTACTCATCCTACAGTGGTTTTATAACTGCATACTAAAATTTGTGTTGGAAGGGAGTCAAAGCTATCTTGGGAGATGAGCACCACAGCTGTCTAGTCGAACATCTGCATGCAGCTGCCGTGCTCGCTAAGGCACCTGCGATAAACTCTGTTAAGGAATATCCCAACCCTGCCCTAAACCTGCCTCCTTCCATGGGTCTCAGGGCACAGAGGCACCTGTGCTGACACCTGTGCTGACACTCACTAGGCTGTAACTTAAACCTCCCAATGCTGTGACAGTTGAAGAATAACACATGGGGGTGCAGGTGGGGAGACAGGGATGGAGCGACAACTTATAAAAACTGTTAAGGAACTAAACTGGGGCCTCCAGTTCTTTGGGAACAAACTCCACTCAGGTCCCAGAGTGAACAAACTATTTCTCCACACCTCTGTGCATGGCTGGTCCCTGCCTACTCAGTAACAATACAGATACAGTTGCTTCTCTTTGTTTTTGTTTTTTTGTTTCTGCCAAAGGCTCATGGCTCCATGTCCCTCTCCTGGGGCAGGGCATCAGCAGCTAGACAGATAGGCCAAGTTAGGCCACAGCAATCCGCTTCCACATCCTCTGTCTTGAGCTGGCCTTAAAAAAAAATCCTCAGGCTGGAGAGATGGCTCAGCAGTTAAGAACACTGGTTGTTCTTGCAGAAGACCTGGGTTTGAATCCCATCACGCACATGGCAGCTAACAACTGTCTGTAACTCCAGTCCCAAGGGATCCAACAGCCTCTTCTGACCTCCTCGGGCATTGCACAACACAGGTGCACTTACCTACATGCAGGCTATACACACATACACATAAAATTAAAAAAACAAAAAATCCTCGACCTACCCTTATCCACAGGGCTCCCACACAGGCTACTAGAGTCACACTATGCAGTGAACAGGGGAAAGGAGGTGGTGGCTATAGGATGGGGTACAGAACTTCTGGACAACCCCCCGTGGGGTGGAGGAACAGGAACTTCCATGTGCTAGAAAGCACCACAGGGACAAAGTTCCTGTGCTCAAGACCCTTCCAGACTTGTCCTGGGAAACTCTTCCCAGGCTGCTTGTTTGTGTGCTTCAAATATCCTTTGTAAGAACTGCAAGTGTGAGTAAAGCGTCTCCCTGGGTTCTGGGAGACGCTCTGAGGAGGGGCTCACAGCCGCCAGAGTTCTAGAGGCCCAGGCTAAAGACAGTGCCTGAAGTGGAGGCTATCTTAAGGAGAGAGCCCTCAGCCTGCAGGACTGGCTGTGCTCCAAGTAGACAGTGTCAGGACCACACTGATCAGAGCATCGGGTTGCTGAAGAGCTGACTGTTGCCTCTGGAGGGAAAAACACCCCCAGCTGTGGGAACTCAGCTTCCTACGAACTCAGGGAAAACAAGGGCCTTTGCTTCTCCCTGACAGAATCACACGTTTAAAAAAAAACAGCATCTTGAGGGCTGGAGAGGTGGCTCAGTGGTCAAGAGCACTGTCTGCCCTTGTAGGGGACCCGGGTTCGGGTCCCAGCACCGACACAGTGGCTAACACGTGTGATCCCAGTCCCACGGGATCCATGGCACTGCACAACATGGGACACTTATATACACGCAGGCAATGCACATAAAAAAGTTTAAGTACCATCTTAGCCGGACGTGGTGGCACACGCCTTAGTCCCAGCACTCGGGAGGCAGAGACAGGCAGATCTCTGTGAGTTCAAGGCCAGCGTGGTCTACATAGAGTGCCAGGCCAGCTGGGACTACAGGGAGACCCTGTCTCAAAAAGACAGACAAAAAAAAAAAATTACCATTTTGAAACTAGACATATCCAATATTCACAACGAAATCTTTCATTGGTTCTAGGGAAACACCATCATGTTCTTTGGTCAACGTGCAGCTGGTTTCTGCCCGGGGAAGAGCTGAAAGCTATGGGCCCACCTGGCCTGGCCAGCACTTCAGAACAGATTCCAGTAAAGCCCCAAACAGTGACTTACATGATCAATGCCTCCCATTCAAAAAAATTCTCTTCATTCATGGGGCCTGCAGGGAAAGAAAACAATACGTCATAACTGGGAGGCAGCTTTGGCAACTCGAAGAAAATCATGGAATCACCAAGCTCTTACCTGCCACAATTCCTTCCGGAGGGTTCAGTGTTAACTCTACAAAATTAAAAGAGTAAAATGTTACCAAAGTGAACGCCTGTGAAATCATCACTGACAAAACACTTCTACTATCAATTACAGCCCACACCTCCTCCAGGACAGAGCTCTGTGCCCAAAGGAATCCCCAACCCAGGTCTGAAACTGATAGATTTCGCAGGCAGTTCTTTACCAATGGGACAGAAGTTCAGAGCTTTCATTTTACCAATGAAAGGATGGGGGTGGCTGACTACCCAAAATGTTCCTACCAGGTCTTTTAACGGAAGCTCACAATCTAAAATGGGATATTTTTCTGACTGAATGGATTTCCTATCACAAACCTTCCTGAATGTGACAGGGTAGAAGGGAAGTCAAGCTGGATTTCAGAAGCCTGAGAACCAACCCCATCAGTGTCTAGGGCAGCGCCAATCTATGGCATGGCTCTGCAACATGAAAGCCACATCCATGCGGTGAGATAAGACCACTGGAGTCCAGCTCAGCCTCCACGAAGCTGCCACAGGGTGGGGGCCACAGTCTGGGCTGGGGTATGTCCCCTAACCCAGTGTTGAGTGCATCACAGCAGCACTGAGGTGGCGGAACCTTTAAGGAGTGGGCTGTGAGGCCGCTGTGGGACATCGTGGAGTTCCCAACAAGGTGGTGATGAAAGCAAACTTCTCAGGCCTTCTGCTCCAGCATGGTCACTCAGGCACCACCTGCACTCAAGTCACTGCAGCCACCACAATGTGGGCCACCCACCACCCTCACCACAGGCTGCCCCCCAGAACTGTGAGCAAAATAAACAGTTCTTTTGGGGGCAGGGGGTACCGTTTACTTGTTTTTTTTTAAAGACAGGGTCTCACTATATAACCTAACCAGCCTGAAACTCACTATGTACCAGGCTAGCCTCAAACCTGCAGCTCCCCTCTGGCTTCTGCCTCCAAGTGTGCACCACCATGGCCAGCTAAACTTTTTAGCTTAATAAAAGTTACCTGCCCCCGGTACTGCTGCAGTAATGACCAAGAGATGTTCCACAGCCTGTGGAACAAAGACTTAACCTGTGGACACACTGGGCAAAGCGGTAAATGGAAGGAGGTGGCAGCAGTCACAGCAGGACAGGATGAAACACCAGTAAGAAAATCAGGACAGAATACACACTTGGCAGAGGGCCAGGAAGAGATCACGACAAGAGAGATCAGTATTCAAACTACAGCATGGTGGTCTCCACAGAAACAGAAACTAACAAAGCTCTATCAAGTAAGTGTAAGGTAAAAGGACTAGAAACAGAACTGAAACTTGCAGTCAGGAGCTACAGGTGTACAGCATAGACCATGTAAAGGAATCTAAAGCTAATCAGAAACAGTGAGCCGGCTGAAGCTGCAGACTCTGAACTGCCTCCTGCGCATGTGTAGTTAAAAAGGGCAGGTCCACACAGTGGCACCGCCACTCTGCTCTTGTTTTCACGGAACAAGTCTTGATTTTTATTTGAAAAGCTTCAAGGTGGGCATCGCCCCTGTCACTACTATCCAAACCGCTGCCCCAAGGTATGGCCAATAAGCCTGCGGAAGGGAGGGAAAGGAGAGTGGGGGGCTGGGGGAGAGTCCAACACAGAAAGCACGATGGGTCCCGAGTGGACAGCAAGCACAGAAGCTGGCACAGGCCCTGCTGACACATTCTTCAGTTAGAACTTTATAAAAGGACTTCAGGTCTCACAGCACCATCCTCTCCAAGTCCGCCTGGGGCACACTACAAGCAGATTTTGGTGCTTTGGGGAACTTGTTGGTATGAACAGTCCTACTATCAGGGGTGAGGACAGCAACTTTTACTAGAGGTTGCATTGTAGGAAAGCCTAGAAAGATAAGTTAAAAGTTGGATCATCCTGAGGACCTCTAGGCACCACTCCACCACCCCAAAAGAGAAAAGGGGACGAGCCTTTCGTGATTGTTTTGTTTTTTGAGACAGGGTGTCACTATGTAGCCCATCCTAGGCTGGCCTGGATCTCAGAGATCTGCCTGCCTCTGCCTCCCTAGTGCTGGGCTCAAAGGCACATGTCACCACATCCAGTTGGGCTCAAGGGCACATGCCACCACATTCAGTTGGGATAAGCTTTTGAAAGACACAATAGAGAACATTATTAACAAAAGACTTTTATTTTGACTTTTTGAGACAGGGTCTCTCTGTAGCCCCAGCTGGTCTAGAACTCACTATGTAGACCAGGCTGGCCTTGAACTCACAGAGATCTACCTGCCTCTGCTTCCTGAGAGCTGGGATTAAATGCATGCACCACCACGCCCAGCAACAAAAGACTTTTTAAACCCGATTAAATGGGGATTCTGTTATGTTCATAGATTAAGAGCTGAACATTGGGCTGGGCATGGTGGCACACACCTTTAATCCCTGCACTCAGGAAATAAGAGTTAGGCAAATCTCTGTGAGTTGAAGGCCAGCCTGGTCTATATTGCTAGGTCCTGGCCAGCCAGAGCTACATAGTGAAACCCTATGTCCCAAAACAAAACAAAGCAAAAACCCCTGAATATTACAAAAGTATCAATCTCCTAATACTGAATCTGTAGATTTAACATGACTTAGGTCAAGATCTCAACAGGTTTTCTTCTTAGAATTTGACACAATGAGCAAGACTGGAACACACAATTTTCCCATCCATCACATACAAAGGCCCAAACAGGGCTGGAGAGATGACTCAGCAATTAAGAGTGCATGTTGCTCTTCTAGAGGACCAGGGTCCAGTTCCCAGGACCCTCTGGCGGCTCACAACCACCTGTAACTCCAGTTCCTGGGGATCCAAAGCCCTCTTCTGGCCTGTGTAGGCACTGCAAGCATGCAATCAATGCACCCACATACAAACAAATACATATAAAATAAATTTTTGAAAAGAAAAATCAAAATGGGCTGGGGAGATGGCTCAGCCTTGTTAAGAGCACTGGCTGCTCTTGCAGAGGACCCAGGTTTGGTTCCTAGTACCCACATGGTGGCTAACAATAGTCTGTAACTCCAGTTCCAGGGCATCCAATGCTCTCTTCCAGCCTCCACTGGCACTGCACAGCTCAGGTGCAATTACATACATGCAGGCAAAATACACACAAAAAAATAAACAGTTCTAAAGATCAAAACTGCTGCGTAACTCTTAAAGACAGGCACACAGCTCAAAAAGTCTGATATTATGTGGTTGTCGCATGAACCTTAGAGTGCACTCACGCAAACCTAGGGCAGGTCGGTCACTCAGCTGACACACACATCGAAGCACAAGAAACATGAAGCTGCTGTCGGGAAAACCCAGGACCCTGCTGATAGTAGAGAGGTGAACTCTAAAATAACGACCACAAAGCAGAATAAACAACAAACCAGCCACACGGCTGTCTGTCTGTCACTATGCTCACGGCTGTCTGTCTGTCACTATGCTCACAGCTGTCTGTCTGCCACTACGCTCACGGCTGTCTGTCACTATGCTCACAGCTGTCTGTCTGTCACTATGCTCACGGCTGTCTGTCACTATGCTCAAGGCTGTCTGTCTGTCACTATGCTCACAGCTGTCTGTCTGTATGCTCAAGGCTGTCTGTCTGTCACTATGCTCACGGCTGTCTGTCACTATGCTCAAGGCTGTCTGTCTGTCACTATGCTCACAGCTGTCTGTCTCTATGCTCACGGCTGTCTGTCTATCACTATGCTCATGGCTGTCTGTCTGCCACTACGCTCACGGCTGTCTGTCACTATGCTCACGGCTGTCTGTCACTATGCTCACTATGCTCACGGCTGTCTGTCTGCCACTATGCTCACGGCTGTCTGTCTGCCACTATGCTCACGGCTGTCTGTCTGCCACTATGCTCACGGCTGTCTGTCTGCCACTATGCTCACGGCTGTCTGTCTGCCACTATGCTCACGGCTGTCTGTCTGCCACTATGCTCACGGCTGTCTGTCTGCCACTATGCTCACGGCTGTCTGTCTGCCACTATGCTCACGGCTGTCTGTCTGCCACTATGCTCACGGCTGTCTGTCTGCCACTATGCTCACGGCTGTCTGTCTGCCACTATGCTCACGGCTGTCTGTCTGCCACTATACTCACGGCTGTCTGTCTGTCACTATGCTCACAGCTGTCTGTCTGCCACTATGCTCACAGCTGTCTGTCACTATGCTCTACGCACTGTACACAGTGCCTACACTGTGCTTCATGCTGGCCATCGGTGAGTCTACACCAGCAGACCTAAGTGTGAATAACGTGTTAAGGCGTGATGTTAAATGGCTGTGACAGCACCAGGCTGTCAGACTTTTTCAGTTCAAGGTCACTATCAGCACTAAGTATATTATAAAAAAGAAGACAGGCTGGAGAGAGAGCTCAGTGGTTAACAGCACTGATTGCTCTTGCAGAGGACCTGGGTTCAGTTCCCAGCACCTACATGGCAGCTAACAACCATCCGCAACTCCAGTTCCAGGGCATTCAACGCCCTCTTCTGATCTCTGTGGGAACTGTACAACATGGGTGCACATATATACATGCAGGCAATATACTCATACACGTAAAATTAAATAAATATTTTTTTCAAAAGAAGAAACAGACCCCCTGTGAAAGATGATGTGAACAGTACCACATTCTGAATGTTTGGGGCCCCAAAGTTCCCATGTAGAAATCCCAGTCCTGGTGTGCTATATTGGGGGACTCTGAGAATCACTAGGTGCATAAGGATGAGTCCCTGGGAACAAGCAAGTGCCTTATGAGAGGATCCCAGCTGGGCACAGCTCACTGGCAAAGCACCCACCCACACAAGGCCCTGGGTTCCATCCCCAGAACCGCAAATAAACAGTGAAAAAGGAAAAAGGGGATAGCAGAGAGGCGCTCTCTAGGCCCCGCGAGAGGGTGGGAAGCTGCTAGTATAATTAAAAAACAAAAAACAAAACAAAAACCCTGAGAAAATGAAAAGGTAGACCCAGGGAAGAACCTTGGTTGGGACAGACAAACCAGAGGTAGGGATCCCACCCTGAAGCCCAGGCCAGCCTTGAACCTGTGACCT